CTTCTTCTTCTTCTTCTTCTTCTTCTTCTTCTTCTTCTTCTTCTTCTCCTTCTCCTTCTCCTCCTCCTCCTCCTTGTCCTCCTCCTCCTCCTCCTCCTCCTTCTTGTCCTCCTCCTCCTTGTCCTCCTCCTCCTCCTCATCCTCCTTCTTGTCCTCCTCCTCCTCCTCCCCCTCCTCCTCCTTCTGATTCAATAGAATAATTTATGAGTTTTATAGGTTTGAACAATTTTCCTTACCTTTCTGAGCTCTCTTTGCTCAATCTATCAATTGGGAATGCCAGCTGTTGTCACTTTCCCTATATGAGACATTAGAAAAGTAGAAAGATACAGAAATGCAAATTCAGTGTGCTGTTGCTTTGGAAATTACACCTTGTAGTAAAGGAACTCTACTCTTTCTGATGCCCCTTCACCATGTTCTGGGAATTTGTTGGAAAATGCTTATAATTGTAAGAATGTATCATTGGAAGACTCTTACAACAGTTATTAAGAGACAGTTGGGGTAGCTGTGCTACTATTTCTACATTGGTTACTCTCTCATCTTTACAATGATTGAGTAGATGATCTCAGAGATCATTCTATGTCTCAGTGGTGTTTAAAGTATGTGTGTGAGGTAACCTGGATTTCCTTGACTGAAGTTTTCCTGACAATTGTTGACATCATGGGTACAATGAGGTGTGAGAGGGTAGCAGAGGCCACCTGGAGCCCCCGTAAGGATGTCCTAGTGGGCTGAGATGGTGGATCCTTCTCTGTCACTCACCTCAGAATAGAGAATGGAGGACCTTTGGGGCCAGATCAGTCAGGGCCAATCATGAGGGGCAAGTAGAAATCTTGGCTTTCTAATTGGATTAATTAGAGAGAGCTCTTTTAACTCTGAATGAAGTAAATGTGAGTTTGACTTTCGCTGTTGTTAAGAACTCCCTGGGCATGCTATGCTCAGAGAATTCAGCTCTCTGATTTAAATTCTTCATCCCTCACACCTTAAATGGTTCAGGACTTTTGGTCCAGCAAACATTTCTAACTTCCTTTTCACAGGCTTTAGGGTAGAATTATCCCTCTATATTTCCCTGTCACTTTCCAAATGAGGTCATTAAGTGCTAGAGTTGACACATAGGGGTATCAGCATGAATGACAACTGGTGAGTCCCTTTGGGTGGAGCAGATTCCAAGTCTTGCATTCAATGAACTCTTCCATGGATGAATAGACACTAGGGTGGGGCCTTTCAAACACTGGCACATTTCTTCTACCCTTTCCTTCTTATTTCCCTATCTCCTTCATTCTTTAACAAGGTCTCACATATCCTAGGTTGGCCTTGTCCTTTCTAGGTAGCTGAGGATCATCTTGAACTTCTCATCTTCTTGACATCACCTCCAAGTGCTGGAATTAAAGGAATGAACCATCACATTCAGTTTTATGTGATCCTGGAGCTTTCTACATGCTAGGCAAGCACTCTACCAGCTGCGCAGCACACCTAATCCCTTCATTGGCTCATTTCATTGTTGATATCCCTGCTTCAAAGCTTTTATAAATAGAAAGCCTGTCTCAGAATTGCTCTCTATTAGCAGCTGAGATCGCCTTATGTATCATTTTGTCAGAGTCTTGTCGTCTGACTAAAAAGCTTGCAGCTTGATTTAGAGCAGATGATAGAGTTAGTTTTTTTCTTAACAAGCTTCTGGCTGAATAATTTGCAATGATAGTTTTATAAATAATTGCTGCTACATTTTTTAAAAAAATATTCTTTTGAGAAATTTAAGCGCCTTGGCTAAGACTGACATTTTCTGGGACACAAAGGTATTAACATCATCTGAACCTGAATGGAGCTCAGTCTGTGCAGAAACCTGAATTTTGGGTCTGGAGATGGGATTCAGCAATTGAGTGTTCATATAGCACAGCTTATGATTATTGAGCAAAATAAAATGGAGGAAGAGGTCCCTGTGTTTTATTTATCTACACCCCATTGATATGTCTTTGGAGAAAAAGTTGGAGAGAGGGAATACTGGACAAGGGCAGCTGGGTCAATTTCATCTTTCAGAACAGCACAGAACATGAGATTCTAAGATAAGAAGTGTCAGACAGGAAGTCACAAAGTAGGTGTTGGATTCATTAGAATGATCTAAAAGGTTCTCAAGGAAATTGTTTATTGAGTGAATTTAATTTAAGCTTCTATGTTCAATTCTGTTTAAAGTTTCATTAACTACAAATCCTTGAAATATTCAGTTAGCTTTCTGCCTGATAAGAATGTTCACTTATCTTTCAGTCTTTTACTTTGTCTCCAATAAATAAGAAATTATAATTAAAGTTATTTATACCTCACAGGTGAAATGTCATCATTTTTGTCCATGTTTACCTTGTCTGATGACCCTTTATGAAATTCCCTCAAACACTTTTATTTCCTCTTAGATGTTGGCTCCTTTATTGTTGTTTCACCCAAATACATTTAATTTATAGCTTTTTAAGATCTTTGTATTATAAAGATATATTACATATCAATAATCTTAAATTAAACCCAAACTAAGCCAAACCAGCCCAGTCCAGCCCAACCCAAATCAAACCAGGGATGGGAGATAGGTCAATTGGAAAAGTGCTCTCCATGAAAGAATGAGGACCTGAATTTGATCCCCAACAACCAGGTGAAAAATGAGATGTGATGGTACTTATTTATAATCTCGGTGCTGAGGAGGCAGAGACAGGTGGATATTTCAGGTTTACTGGCCAGCTAATCTAGCAGAATGCACAAGCCCCATGATCCAGTGAGAAACACTGTCTCAAAAAATAATGTGAATGGCACTTCTGAGGAATTTTACCTGAGAGTTACCTCTGTCCTCTATACACGTCATTTCTGTGCATGTGTTGGGTGGAAGATTCTTGTATCAGAATCCTGGAACCCTGAACATTTCTAAATGTATGTTATGCATGCCTACACTGCAAGAGTACTTTAAGATAATGTAGATTGAAGTATACTCAATTATGCTCTGATACAATATAATTTGATTTTATCAAGTATAAACTCTGGAGCTTGGCAAGTTTTACCAATGGCAGAAAAATTAGAGTTGAGAAATCACTCCTTGTAAAATGTTGATTCTGTTCTGTTGTAGAGCAGGACTAAGTCATCAGTTAAGTCACTATGAGTCAGAGATTGAAGATTTGAGCTGTATCATGCATTCCCTCCATTTTTGAGGATAGTCAGATAATTCCTATGCATGTAGAGTATTACAAAGTCAAATTTCAGCCTGAGACTAATATTCAGCAGCAGGTAATTGCTATTTAATCACTGTGTCATGGAATCTTTGCTTTGGAGAAACCCAAATGAAACAGGGAAGGAGGAAGAGACAGAGAAAAGAAACAAGGGAGGGAAGAAGAGACAGTTGGAGGGAAAGAGGGAGAGAGAGAGGGAGGGAGGTAAGAAAGAAGGGAGGGAGAAAGAGAGAGAAGACCAGACCATAAAGCCAAGAGAATGCCTCTCATTTCTGATGGATTCTGATGCTGATTTCTGTGATTCTAGGTTATCAGAAACCGTGCTTTAAAACATGGCAGTTACAAGCAATATAACAGAAATAATTTTTGGGGGATTTCCTCAGAGTCAGCATGTACAGAAGGTTATTTTGTGATGTTTCTCCTGATGTATATGTAATGAGGCAATGGCCTCATTGTGGTGACTGTTATGATCAGCAAAGGACTCTCTTCCCATATGTATTTCTTCCTCAGCTATTTGTCATTGGTAGAGCTCTGTTACTGTTCTGTCACAGTCCCCAAACTCATTCTTGACTCTTTGCTCAAGAGGAAAGTCATTTCCCTTCAGGGTTGCATCACACAGATATTTTGCCTCCATTTCTTTGGTGGCACTGAAATCTTTCTTTTGGCCGTGATGGCCTATGACCACTACGTGGCCATCTGCAAGTCTTTGCACTATGTCACCATCATGAATCGAAGAGTATGTGACCTCCTGGAAGGGGCAGCATGGAGTGGGGGCTTGTTGCATTCTGCTGAACAAGCATTCCTCATTTTCCAACTGCCCTTTTGTGGTCCCAACATCATTGACCACTACTTCTGTGACGTCCACCCAATGTTGAAGTTGGCTTGCTCAGACACCTTCCTCATTAGCCTGCTAATCATCATCAATGGTGGCTCCATCTCAGTGATCAGCTTTAAAGTGCTTCTGGCTTCTTATGTGGTCATCCTGCATTCCCTGAGGAGCCACACGGCAGAAGGATGGCGTAGAGCACTCTCTACCTGTGCCTCTCACCTTGCTGTGGTGGGTCTGTTCTTCATACCCTGTTCTTTTGTCTATATGAGAACCTGCATCACCTTCCCTGTGGACAAGACCGTGGTTGTGTTTTATACAGTTGTCACACCTGTCTTGAACCCCATTATTTACTCTTACAGGAACTCTGAGGTAAAAAATGCCATGAAGAGACTTGCATGGAAGAAGACGACTTGGGAAGAAAAGTAGAAAATTTGGGCAAAACAGGGACAGTAGATGGGAAGTTGGGGGGTAGCTCAGGTCTCCCTAGATCTCTGCCTTGTTTGACAATGGTCTTATTGAAATTTACATTCCCTCATATTTATGTCAATAGAAAACAGTGAAGATATCTAGACTGGAGTAAGAGGGATATTCTAGTGCCAGAATGGCATTGAGGTAGATTGGCAAGTCTGGAAAAGTGAACTTCTTCAGCACCCCAAGCCAGTCTGGGAAGATTGAGGAAGGAGACAAAGAAAGAGGAAAATAAATAGCCAGTGTTCATGATGTATCTCAAGTATCTAGAACATTTCTTGGCACTTTGTTGGTATTCCATTAATATTAACTGATCAAATGAGTGAATGAATAATTAATTTCCATACTAGTTATGGAAAATGAAAACAATGAAAGCAACTAAAAGATGTTACAGAAATATATTTTTTTATCTTGGAACTTAGAAGTTGTGTAGTAACACAATACAAACAGAATTCAAAACTCTGAGAAAATAACAAAGCTATTGTAAATGAATGAATATATGAAAGACCAAACAAAAGTCATAGATTGAAAGTAACTGTAAATAAACAAATATAATTAAATTATATTAAATTCACCAAAACTATTCAGAATCATATCAAATTCTTCCCTGCACCTTAAATATTGTAGTGGTAAAATGTATGTATATGTGTATCTGTGTGTGTGTGAGAGAGAGAGAAAGAGAGACAGAGACAGAGATAAAGAGAGACTGAGAGAGAGACAGAGACAGAGAACATGAATCCTTGACCCAAAGGCTGAGTTTCTTCCAGGTGTATGAATCAATAACTGAAAATCAGAATTTTTTTTAAAAGTACACCAGTACCTGGAGTAGCAGAATTATTGTAGGTCCAATGTCAAGGGCAGATTGGTAGAAAGTTGAGAAAAAGCAACTGAAATCCTACATTAACAGTACCTAAGTAATGCTTTTGAAAATAATTTCCCCTTTCATCTCCTCCCTTCCAACCATCCCATGTAGCATCCTACCCCACTGACTGTAAAATTTATGCCCTCTTTTTCTTTAATATATATGTATGTGTGTGTGTATTTTAAAATAAATAAATATAGCCCATTCAGCCTGTATAAATGTTAGTTGTATTTATGTTTTCAGGGCTGACCATTTGATTTTGGATAACCAGTTGGTGTGCTCTTCCTGAGCAAAGACTATTTCTCCCACTCTCAGCATTCCTTAGTTGTCTGCAGTTCTTTGTCTAGGGTTGCAGCCTAGTGAGCTTTCCCTTTCCCAGAAGACAGAGTTTCCTAAAAGTAATCCACTGTCTTTAGCTCTTACAGTCTTTTCTGTTTCCTCTGAGCTTTGATAGAAAAAAATTGATCAGTTCCATTGATATCACTCACTGTACTTTGTCCAGTTGTGGGTTTCTCTTTTAATTACCATTTACTACATCTCAGATGAGAGTTGAGTGATGCCTGATCTATGGTTATTCAGTATGCCATTGTAAGTTATTTGTCACTGTTTTCCTTTAGAGAAAACCTTTAGCAGGTTTTCCCTAGAGCCCATGACCTATCTGGTCTCCAGTTCTTGACCACTATAGCAGTGCCAAGGGTGGGTTCCAACTCAGGGGATACTACTTAAATATAATAAAATGTGGTTATTTGTATCCATAACATTTGTGGCCCAATTATACAATTCTATTTAAAAGGCAGACCACTGTTGTAGGTCACAGAGTTAGTACTTGGGTGTTATTAATTATGACATTTTTTTCCTCCAGTAGGATTCAGAGTACCTTCCTGCATCATGAATGCTAGTCAGTAAGGGCAAAATTTCTAGTTGGGTACTGCATTGTTTCCAATGTTCAATGAGAAAAGTAAGTTCTGTCATTATCAATAGGATCTTAGCATCAGATGTTGGAGACGAGCCAAAATTCTTGCTAATGGACTGCAATGATACGGTGCGGTAGGTCTATGGTACACTTTGAACAATGACTCAACAACTTGTAACCCATTCCTGGCATTGAATGCTTAACTTGATGTAACATGAGGGGCCGGCTTGTTGGGGTATCTGTCCCACCCAATACCCCACAGCCGGCAAGCCCCAAAGAAAATCACATACAGGACTCCATAAGATTATAAACTGATTGGCCCATTAGCTCAGTCTTCTTATTAACTAATTCTTACATCTTATGGTAACCCATAATTCTTGTCTGTGTTAGCCATGTGGCTCAGTACATTTCCCAGCTGTCAGCTCACATGGTGCTTCTTCGGTGATCTGGGCAGGAATGGCGGAGTGAGCTTCCTCCTCCCTAGCCTTCTCCTGTTCTCACTGTCCTGCCTCTACTTCCTGTCTGGTTGACCTGCCTATACTTCCTTCCTGGCCAATCAGCGTTTTATTAAAATACGTGATTGACAGAATACAGATAATTCTCCCACACTACTTCCCCCTCTTTTTTTTTTAAAAAAAAAAGAAAACAAAGGAAAATATCTATAGTCCATTTTTGGGAATGTGGGCGTAGTATTACAGGTTACTTCTGGCTGGTTGGGGATGCTCATAATCTTATGGGGACCTAAAGAAAATTTAGAGTTATAATCAAGTCCTGACTGGAGTATCCTGTGAGAATTGATAATTTCAGGCAGCAGTCTTGAACCTGTTCTGGATGAAGAACTCAGACATCTGGGCCATCTGTTCCTACCGAGATTTCTCAGGTGGTCTTCCTTGATCAAACTGGATTTTTCTTAACTCAGAATGAATCCACAGCCTCTCATTTTCTGTGAAAACAAAATCTCTTCTCCAAAGTA